TATGCTCAGAACACATCCCTGGGGGACACCTTCAGCTTGGATAAAGTCCGGGGAGAGCACATTATTAACCAGAACACGGAAATGTCTGTCAGTTAAAAAGTTCTTAAGGAAGGATGGTAGATTGCCTCGAAGGCCTAAGGAGTGGGCTTGGGCCAAAATATTATACCTCCAAGTTGTGTCATATGCCTTCTCAAGGTCAAAAAATATGGCAATAACTGAGTGGTTATTCGCAAAGGCATTACGAACATATGTATCCAAGCGTAGTAAGGGGTCTATGGTAGAATGGCCTTTACGAAAGGCATATTGACAAGTGGAGAGACTGTTGTGTGTCTCTAAATACCACACTAAACGTCTATTTACCAGGCAATGGGACGATAGTGGGAGGCTTCATGTCCCGTAGTACCCGGTTTGCGGAAAGGGAGAACAATGGCAGATTTCCACAGCTGTGGAAGAACTCCCTGTGACCAAATAAGATTGAAAAGGCATAATAGGACTGCAAGGGCTGACTGATGTAAATGTTGTAGCATATGAATATGAATGTCATCGGCCCAGCTGCCGATGATCAGCAAGCTGAGTGTGTTGCCTCCAGTTCCTGAAGTGTAAAAGGCACATTATACTGTTCTTCTCTGAGAGAAGAAAAGTCCAAGGGTGCTAACTTTCTGACAGACTTTGAGGAAAGAAACGAGGGGCATAGATGGAGCCCCTGAGAAATACAGACCAGATGATTGCCAATTTCATTGGCAACATCTAGTGGGTTTGCTATATCAACACCGGCAACCCGCAGAACAGGAGCCGGGTCAGGAGAATATTTACCACTCAGTTTTCGTACTTTTTTCCAGACTGCACTCATAGAGGAAGCAGAGGTGATGGTGGAGACAATCTCGCCAGCAAGTGTGTTTAGCGTCACGGATGGCATGGCGAGCGATTGCATGCTTCTGCTTAAAATCAAGTCTCTCCGTGGTTCTATTGTACCGGTACCTGCCCCATGCAGCGCGTTTCAAACGTACTGCACGAGCACAAGCAGGAGACCACCAAGGCACGCATTTCTGAGAATGCCTGCCCGAAGTTTGGGGTATAGAATGAGAAGCTGTGGTTAAAACGGAGGACGAGAAGAGGTGTAAAAGCTCATCAATGGAGGACGAAGAAGGAACCTCACTAAAAACAGTTAGTTGTGAGTAAAGGTTCCAATTTGCCTGATCAATTTGCCAGCGTGGGTTACGAAGAGGTGGTGAATATGAAGGGGAAGTAAGAATGATTGGGAAATGATCGCTGTCGTGTAAATCCGGGAGAACAGACCAGGTGAAGTCTAATGCGGCGGAGGAAGAGCAGACTGAGAGATCGATGCAAGAGAGAGTATGAGTCCGAGGATCAAAATGGGTGCGAGTACCTGTATTTAAAACATGGATGGGTGGGTAGCAAGAAAAGCCTCTAACTGAATGCCACGGGAATCACAGTGAGACCCCCCCCCCCGAGGAAATGATGGGCATTAAAATCACCAAGTAACAGAAGTGGTGGCGGTAATGACGAAACAAGAAAGGCAATATCTGGGATAGATAATGCCCGAGAAGGAGAGAGATACAGAGAACAGAGTGTATACTACCTATGCAAGTGGATATGGGCTGCTGTGTAATGCAGCGAAGTACGAACAAATAGCTGATGGTATGGAATATCAGTGCGTAGAAGAAGGGCACTTTCATTAAAGGTCCCATCAGGAAAAGGATCTGAAGAATACAATAAATTATAGCCTGAGATAGGATAGATAACGGCAGAGTGTAATTTTGGTTCCTGTAAGCAAACACCAACAGGGGAAAACTGGGAGAGCAACATCTGAAGCTCACCCCAATTACCCCTGAGGCCGCAAATATTCCACTGTAAATAGGCCATGATTGGCAACGATAAAGATACCTGAAATCCGCAGGTAAGGGTACCTATGGACTAGAGGGGTTAGAAAAGTCCACATGCGGTGGCAAAGGAAAACGTTCAAGTAGCGAAGGAATGGTGCGTTGTGAAGAAAGGAGTTGCGCAGATGGAGAAGGAACAGAGGGTGGATCAGTGTCCACTGATGGTTTGGTCTCTGCAATATATTCAGAGATTGCTTCAAGTGTTTCGGAGTTCAGAGACATCGTATGGGAGACAATATTGGAGATGGAAGGAGGAGGAGTTTGAGTAAAGATCGGAGCTGTAATGGACTGTACCAAGGTGGGAGGGGGGGGGGAAAGGGTGCAGGGAACTGGAGAAGTGTGGGAGGGGACAGAAGAGGCAGAAACCTGGGAGGTGGCAGAAGAGGAAGAAACGTGGGAGGGGACAGGGGAGGAAGGCACAGTACGAGGAGGAGGATGAACCTCCACACCTGTAACAGAGCCAATGAAAGGGGAAGACTCAGGTACAGAGACCAGGAAGGTAAAATGTGGAGGTGCATGAAGAGAAGGAGGGGTTAAAGGAGATTTTTTGGGCTTCTGAGAAGTAGAGGGATGATTGGGAGGAGGTGTTGTACGTGGTCTTGTCGATACCGGTGTTTGTGAGGGAGGACACGAAGAAGTGAGGACAGACTGAGGAGTTGAAGTAGGGATGTCTGAGCCCAGGACAGCAAAAGAATTAGATACAGGAGTGACTATGGGACTGGCAACTGCAGAGGGGGCTGCAAAAGATGTGACCCCAGAAGTGGGGGGACACTTTGAAACATGAGAATAAGAAACACGGGGCAGTCTCCCTTGGAGGCGGAGATGAGAAACCGCCATAGCACAAGGGGGACCTTCTGCCTCTTTGAGGCAATGAATTTCCCGCTCATTTAAGTAGGCTTGGCAACGGTGAGAGTACGAAGGGTGAGCCTCATGACAGTTGAGGCAAGAGGGAGTTCGACTGCAAGACATATTAGAATGGTCATCGGCACCACAGACTGGGCATTCGGCTGTAGATCTGCAATATTTGCTGGGTGGCCAAATCGCCAGCAATTCCTACACTGTTGCAGTGTAGGGATCACCTTCCGAACTTGTAACCGATGTCCTGCTACATAAACAGAGGATGGTAGTTCACGGCTGTCAAAAGTTAAATGAGCCACATTGCAAGGGTATCGTCTTTGCCCACGGGCAGGCAGAACATAAGTGTCTACCTTGAGAATTGGGAGATCTTGGAGCTCCAGCTGTTCGAGAATGTCAGTACCACATGTCTGGAAATTCTGTTGGACTGTGGTATGGGGCAGAATAACAGTACCACTACAAGAATTGAGGGAATGATGTTTTTCGATAGTGATAGGAATAGTATCGATATGTGAAAGAAGAGAAAGATCATGAGCTTGAGTAGAATTCTGGACTGTGATGATGCGCATACCACTCTTAAGAGCATGAAAGGAAATATCTCTACCAACGTGGCGTAGGAGCGTTTTGCCAATACTGTGGTTGGAAAGATAGGCAGTAGAAGTCGGTCTTAATGTAAAGAATTTAGCCTTAGGAATGTCCGAAGAGTGGCCAAAAGATGAGGCGAGGTCAGAACGGGGTGCGGTAACAATAAGGGGCCCGGGGGTAGCGGGGTCATGGATCGGGTACTCCATGGTTATGTTACTTCTTTCTTTTTGTTTTTAAGAAAAAAAAGAAGAAAATAAAATAAAAATAAAAAATGAATAAAAAAAGGGGGGACCGGGGAGGGATAGTTCCTAGGAGGAATGAAAGGGCCAGAAATCTCCCTCTGCGCCCAAGAGGACCTCAGCACCGCAAGTAGCGCAGATGCAGCATGGAACCCATGCCATACCCTACCCATCATGCCAGTAAACCGGCAATCCGGGATAGCAACCTCACATCTGCCGAGCTACCTCGGTGGACAAAAGAGAGGGCGGCCGGATATCCGCCACAAAGCATACCTCCTTTGGCTACCACCCCCAGAATCCGAAAGGTGGCTTCCAGAGATACACCCGTTGCCCGAAAGACACCCATACCGGAGAGGGATCGGGACATCCCCAGGCGATCCAGATTCCACGGCAAACTACGCCACCGCCAAGAACCTCAACGGAATGGGATGGACCCTGGTACCCTTTCCCCCTACCCAGGAACTAGCACGCCTGTGAGAAAAATCCCAAAGGCCAAAAAAGGAAGGGCAAAAGGGAGGGGTGGGGAGGAGGAGGAGGAGGAGGAGGAAAGGAAAAAGGGGAGGATGGGATAGGGAAGGGGGGATTGGGGGGTAATTAAGTTCAGTCTGAGGAAGGAGACCGACAGGTCTAATTCCTCAGACCAAGAGCCTCTTCACCACGCCAACACCTTGTCATAAAACTTCAGTAGGTTTGCGACACAGAATTTCCCTTCCCTGAAACCGTGCAGGTTATTGTGTATAAGCTCATTCCTTTCTAGGTGCTCCACCACTCTCCTGATAATCTCCAGGACTTTGCATACTATACATGTCAGTGACACTGGTCTGTAGTTTAATGCTGCCTGTGTTTCCTTTCATAAAAATTGATATTATATTTGCTGTCTTCCACACCTCAGATAATTGCCCTGTTTCGATAGATGTGTTGAAGATTGTTGTTAGTAGCAGACACAGCTCCTCTGCTCCCTCTCTCAGGACCCATGAAGAGATGTTGTCCAGTCCTATTGCCTTTGAGGTATCTAGTCCACTTAGCAGCTTCTCCTCAGATGTGTGTGTACTGTGTCCAACTCTTGTTGGTGTACCCCCACCATTCCAGCTTTCTGGAGTCCTGTCTCCACTGAAAACACTTTTTTTTTTTTTTTGTAATGTGCAAAGTGGAACCCAGTTTTCTGTCTGCCCCTCAGAACATAACACTTTTATAATATTTCATGTATTGTTATAATAGGCTAAATTTTTTAATGGTACACGACCTAACTGAAATAAAATAAAGAAATTAGTTGAAAAACAATGTGAAAAATTGACTTAGAATTTGCAAGGATGGGTTGGTACCTTCAAACCATTGAGTTTTTTTTATGTTGTATCTCTTATCTCTATTTTTATATATAAAACATGTAAATAAAAGTTAACTCAGAGTCTCTCCATCACAGCTGGTGCCTTCAGGATTCTCTATGCCTCATCGTAGCTACTACGACCGGATGCCCAATAACGATGTAAGTTACTGTTTTCTTTTATATTTAAATTAATTCATAACTTAGGATATAGTATGTATATCAATATTAATGAGTGCCTGTGTAGTGTTTACTAATCATTTTAATGTCGCTCAGTGCAACTATATTTTTTCAGAAAATCCTAAAAAAAAAATTAGGATCTTCAATGTAAGTTTTTTTTTTTTCAGTTTTCTGTGATAGCAATTACTGACCTGTTCTCTATGATGGGGTTGCTAACCCATGCTCTATGATGAGGTTTGCTGACCCATTCTATGTGATGGGATTTGTTGACTCATTCTCTGTGACTGGGTGTTTAATGGCCCATTCTCTGTGGGATTTGCTGATGCATTCTCTGTTGCCGCACAGTTTGTGGAAATGCATCTGCCCAGGACGCTGAGGAAGGGCAAGTCTGTGTGTCTTGGGGCTTCGGAAGTCTCCTTGCTCCAGCGACTTCAAAAACTCTTGTTTCGGCTCAGTGTAATACAGATGTGTAGTAACTTTGTCACCACCATTACTACCACAGTTGCAGTTGATTAAATCATTCCACATCATTGTTGGATCTTAGTTTACATGTTAAACCCACACAGTTGTCACTAGTAGGATAGGCAGCAACTATCCAGGGAGGTACAATACTACCATCCTCTCAAATAGGTGTGAGATAGTACAGTGGACCCTCGGGTAGCAGCATTAATCCTTTCCAGAGAGCTTGCCTTTAACCGATTTTGCCATTAGCCGAATTAATTTTCCCCATAAGAAATAATGGAAATCCAATTAATCAGTTTCAGACACCCAAAAGTATTAACAAAAAATATTTTTTTAAAGATTAAATATAGATATACATACAGTAAACAATGAGAAATATAAAGCATTAATAAAATGGATAAATGAACATTTAACATCACACTCACCTTTATTGACTCATGTTGGTGTATGCAAGACAGGTAGGAGGCGAGAGGGAGACGAGTTTATTATGCTTCAATATGACACTATCATCATCTCTGTGGCTTATTTATCTATCACAATTCATCTAATATGACATAATAAGCAATATTGGAGAGTTTCTTTCGTGTTGTTTTCTATCACTTACTTGCTTAACTTGCTACACTGTTAATTCTACACTTTATCGCTGGCTGGCACTATAGCCTTTATCGATACCTGCTGCTTTAGTATCGTACATATCGTAGAATCACTGATTCACTGCGGAAGGCACATTCTCCCCTCTCTCTTCCTCCTCCATTTTGGTACTTTGCTATGAGTTTTTTCTTGAATTCTTTTGTTTCTTTTCTTCTGTACCACAGGGATAGCACTAGAAGCTTTCTTTGGGCCCAAGGTGCCTTATTTAGCAGTTACAAACACTAAAAACAATGAAATAATACAAAATACAGTGGTCCCTTGATAATCGTCGGGCTCGATAGTCGTCCTTTTCGGAAATCAACACTTTATTTTCGTCCAAACATTGGCTCGCAAATGGTCGGTTGACTCGCTAATCGTCGTTCATCCTGGACGCGTACTCACGGCTCTGAGCCGCCTCGGCCTCCCTTCCCAGCCAGTGTGCCATTGTTTACCAGTGAGCGACGGTCCTCTCACTTGTTCATATGAAATATTTCATAATATTCCATTCATATTAGTGCTACCATGGCTCCAAAGTGCCAAGCCTTTGGTAAAGAAGGTGAGAAATACGATTGAATTTAAGAAAAACATCATTGAACAATATGAAAGTGGCATACATGTGGCCAAACTGGCCAGGATGTATAAAAAATCTTCCATTGTGGCCAAGAAAAAGGAAATCAAGGAAGCTGTTGTTGCAAAGGGGGTAAATGTGCTGACAAAAATGAGATCATCAGTACTCGAAGATGTTGAGAAGTTATTATTGGTGTGGATAAATGAGAAACAATTAGCAGGAGATAGTCTTATGACATCGATTATTTGTGAAAAGGCTAGGCAGTTGCATGATGATCTGGTAAAGAAATTGCCTGCAACGAGTACTGATATTTGTGAATTTAAGGACAGCAAAGGTTGGTTTGAGAGATTTAAGAACCATAGTGGCATACAGTGTGATAAGGCATAGTGAGGCTGCCAGTTCGGACAAAATTGCAGCTACAAAATTCGTAAGTGAATGCAAGGAGTACATAGAGGCTGAAGGACTGAAACCTGAAACCTGAACAAGTGTTCAGTTGTGACGAAACAGGCCTCTTTTGGAAGAAAATGCAAAAGAGGCCCTACATTACTCAGGAGGAAAAGGGACTGCCAGGACACAAGCCTATGAAAGACAGACTGATGCTCATGTTCTGTGCTAATGCTCGTGGGGATTTCAAAGTGAAGCTGTTACTAGTGTACCATTCTGAAAATCCCAGAGTGTTCAGGAAAAACAATGTTATGAAGAGTAAATTGTGTGTGTTTTGGAGATCTAATAATAAGGCATGGGTCATGAGGGAAATTTTCGTCGAGTGGTTCAATGAAGTGTTTGGCCCTAGTGTGAAGAGTTACCTCCTGGAAAAGAAATTGAATCTCAAGTGCCTCCTAGTAATGGACAATGCACCTGCTCATCCTCCAAACTTGGATGACCTAATTCTGCAGGAGTTTGGGTTCATCACAGTAAAGTTCTTGCCCCCGAATACCACTCCTCTCCTCCAGCCCATGGACCAGCAGGTCATTTCAAACTTTAAAAAAAACTACACCAAAGCAATGTTTCAAAGGTGCTTTAATGTTACCTCAGACACTCACTTGACTCTAGGAGATTTTTGGAAAGAACACTTCAGTATCCTCCATTGCATAAGCCATATAGGTAAGGCTTGGGATGGAGTGACTACCAGGACTTTGAACTCTGCTTGGAGAAAACTGTGGCCAGATTGTGTCCACAAGAGGGATTTTGAAGGATTTGTGGCTGACCCTGATGAGGCTATGTCAGTTGTGAACTCTATTGTGGCATTGGGGAGTTCCATGGGGTTGGATGTGAGTTTGGAGGATGTGGAAGAGTTGGTGGAGGACCACAATGAAGAGCTAACCACTGAGGAGCTGCAAGAGCTTCAGCAGGAACAGCAACAGATCGCAGCTCAGATTCTTGCTGCAGAGGAGGAGGAAGAGAGATGGAAGAAGGTGCCTTCTTCAGAAATTAAGGAGATCTTTGAAATGTGGGGTAGGATGGAAAGATTTATGGAGAAACATCACCCTGAGAAGGATGTTGCAAGCCATATCGGCAACTTGTACAATGACAGAGTCTTGGCCCATTTTAGGGAAGTTTTAAAGAGACGCCAGAAACAGAGCTCTCTGGACACTTTTTGTGCGAGACAGGACTCCAGTGACTCTCAAGCTGGTCCTAGTGGCATTAAGAAACAGAGAAGAGAAGTAACCCCAGAAAAGGACTTGGTACCTGAGGTGTTGATGGAAGGGGATTCCCCTTCCAAACAGTAACTAATCCAATCTCTCTCCTCCTCCAGTCTTCCATACACTAAGAAGAATCGCCAATAAAGGTAAGTGTTATGCTGTTAGTGTTTCATTCATCATGTCCCATTGCATTGTTTATGTACTACATCTATATTTCATGTAAAAAAAATTTTGTTTTAATACTTCTGGGTGTCAGGAACAGATTAATTGTATTTGCAGTATTTCTTATGTGGAAAATTGATTCGAAAATCGCCTATTTCGATAATCGTCGGACATCCAGGAACGGATTAACAACAATAAACGCAGGACCACTGTATATTGCATGTACACATGGAATCATTCTCTCTGGCTTGTAAACAATAGCACACTGGCTGTACATAGGCTCAGGTTGCGTGGACACGTTTGGGACGAATGTCCTTAACCGAGTTCTTGGATGTTAGCCAAGCCAATATTTTGACGCAAAAACGTGCCGCTATTCGATTTTGGCATTAGCCAATGCTGCTGTTACCTTAGGGTCCACTGTAATCTCTCTTTTTTTCTGCACTCTTGACAGGATTGCTGATTTTTCCTCAGAAATTATACACACACCTTTACTTTCCTGTGTGCTTCTTGGTAGTTCATAATGCTGTAATATTCCTTTTCCAACCTAGGCTCCAATGGAAGCAAGTCTCTTAATTTTTTGGGGGTTATTCCAAGTAATTTACACTGATAACTGTATTTGTGTACACCTGCACCTAAAGAACCTTACTAGGAGGTCCAGCCATGAGAAAGATAAACCCAGAACTACTATTACTACTAATAATAATAATCTTTATTTAAATAAGGACATATCAATGACTAACTACTATATAGAAAGCCCCTTGTTATGTAGAGCATTTCAGGCAAATTAGATTAGTTTCGTCCCCATGATGTGACTCACACCAGTTGACTAACATCCAGGTACCTATTTTACTGATAGTGAACATGGACATCAGGGGTCATAAGGAAACACGTTGCAGTGTTTCTACCCTTGCCAGGGATAGACCCACGGACACTCAGTGTCCGTGGGTCTATCCCTGAAGTGATAGAGTTGCCTACCAGGCCACAGGACAATTTAAATGACAGTGACCTGAAAAGTGGTTGGACCATTTGAACTATACTATGTAACATTAATATACGTATATCAAGAGTATCCTCTACCCCAGAACAACAGATACTAGAGCCAGCAAATAAAACCCCCCTAAATTCCACCAATACGACATTTGTCTTTGCAGACATACAGGGTCTAAAACTGTCAAAAAACCACAAAATTCCTTGCATCAAGGGACTGCTCACGTAGTCAAATGCAATGTTTGCAGCATTCACAGAGACCCACATAAAGGCTCATTATGACAAAATATGGATCCCAGGTTATAACCTATTCTGTTGTGACAGACTAAATGGGCAACAAAGGGGGGGAGTTGGCCTGTTTGTCAGTCGCTAATTTGCGCAGAACTACCAAACACTTCAAATCACGTAGTTGAAGTTTTGGTGGTAAAGATCGAAAACCAAAACCTTGTCATTGTGGTAGTATACAAGCCTCCAGATGCAACTTCCCAGCAGTTCCAGGAGCAACTTGAGAAAATTGACCACTGTCTGGAAAAATCTCCCAACTCCTGCCCCAAACATCTTACTACTAGGAGATTTCAACCTGAGACACCTAAGATGGAGGAATATAGCAAACAATGTTTTAGCAGAGATCACCCCAGTAGGCAGCTCAGATGAAAATTCACACACACACGAACTATTAAATCTCTGCAACAAATTCACCTTAAACCAGCAAATAGTAGAGCCTACAAGACTAGAAAATACGCTGGACCTCATCTTCACTAACAATGACGATCTGATACGTAATATAACTGTGTCAAAGGCAATTCACTCAGATCACAACTTAATAGAGGTACAGACATGTATGCACAGGGCTCCAGACCAGCAAAATGTGAGCAGTCATGAAGGTCTCTTCATGAAATTCAATTTCAATAACAAAAACATACAATGGGATCAAGAAAACCATGTCCTAAATAAAACAAGCTGGGGAGATATCTTAAACAACATGGATCTGAACATTTGCCTTGAAAAAATGAATTCTGTGGTTCTTGAGATCTGCTCAAGACACATTCCATTACGAAAAAGAAAGAAGATGTAAACTTGAAAGAGAGAGACGTTCCCTATACAGACGAAGGCGACGAGTCACAGAGCTGCTGAGTGGGGTCAATATATCTGAAATACGAAGGGAGGCACTAGTTGATGAAATTGCAAATATCGAACATAAGCTGAAGGAATCTTATAGGAGACAAGAATCACAGGAAGAACTAAAAGCCATAAAGGAAATTGAAAAAAACCTAAAATACTTCTTCTCTTATGCCAAATCTAAGGGAAAAACAACATCCAGTATTGGACCCCTGCTTAGGTGGGATGGGACATACACAGATGATAGCCAAAAATGAGTGAGATACTAAAGTCCCAGTGTGACTCAGTGTTTAGTAAGCCACTGCCCACTCTAAGGGTCGAAAATCCAAATGAATTCTTTATGAACGAAACCCAAAATTTGGTCATCCCAAAAATCTCGGATATTATTCTAACTCCACAAGACTTTGAAGAGGCAATTAATGACATGCCCATACACTCCCCCCAGGCCCTTGATGGAACTCCGTGTTCATCCAGAATGGCAAGAAGCCCCTATCGCATGCCTTCAGCATTTTATGGAGAGGGAGCATGGACACAGGGGTCATCTCACACACACTAAAAACAAGAGACATAGCCCCACTCCACAAAGGTGGCAGTAAAGCAATTGCAAAGAACTGCAGACTGATAGCACTAACATCCCATATCATAAAAATCTTTGAGAGGGCTCTAAGAAGCAAGATAGCCAACCACCTAGATACCCATCAATTACACAACCCAGGGCAACACGGGTTTAGAGCAGGTCGCTCCTGCCTGTCCCAGCTACTGGACCACTATGACAAGGTCCTGGATGCTGTAGAGGATAAACAAAATATAGATGTAGTATACACAGACTTTGAAAAAGCTTTCGACAAGTGTGACCATGGTGTAATAGCACACAAAATGTGGGATAAAGGAATAACAGGAAAAGTTGGTAGATGGACTACAACTTCCTGACAAATAGAACACAGAGTAATAGTAAACAGAGTAAAGTCCCAGGCAGCCATGGTAAAAAGCTCTGTTCCACAAGGCACAGTACTCGCTCCCATTCTATTCCTCATCCTCATTTCTGACAGGGATGTAAGCCATAGCTCCGTGTCTTCCTTTGCAGATGACACCCGGATCACCATGGCAGTGACTACCATCGAAGACACCACGAGACCCCAAGCGGACATCAACCAGATCTTCGAATGGGCCACTCAAAACGATATGAAGTTCAACGAGGAGAAATTTCAACTACTCAGATATGGAAAACTTGAAGAAATTAAAAATGTGTCAGGGTATACCACAAATTCTAACCATACAATAGAGCAGAAAAGTAATGTGAAGGACCTGGGAGTGATAATGTCAGAGGATCTTACCTTCAAAGACCACAACAATGTATCTACCTCATCCGCTAGGAAAATGATAGGCTGGATAGTGAGAACCTTCAAAACTTGGGATGCCAAGCCTATGATGATTCTCTTCAAATTGCTTGTGCTCTTTAGGCTGAAATACTGCTGTACACTAATGCCCCCATTCAAGGCTGGCGACATTGCAGACCTGGAGAGTGTACAAAGAACTTTCACGGTACACATAAGTGCGATGAGGCACCTAAACTACTGGGAACAATTGAAGGTCCTTGATCTGTATTCCCTCGAACGCAGGCGAGAAAGATGCATGATAATATACACTTGGAAGGTCCTGGAGGGATTGGTACCAAACCTGCACACGAAAATCACTCCATTTGAAAGCAAAAGACTCGGCAGGAAATGCAACATTCCCCCGATGAAAAGCAGGGGTGCCATGAGTGCACTGAGAGACAACACAATAAGTGTCTGGGGTAATCATAAGGGGGATTACCAATAGACCCCTGGCTGTCTTCAAGAAGGCACTGGATAGGCACCTAAAATCAGTACCTGACCAACCGGGCTGTGGTTCGTACGTCAGCTTGCGTGCGGCCAGCAGTAACAGCCTGGTTGATCAGACCCTGATCCACCATGAGGCCTGGTCTCAGACCAGGCTGCGGGGGTGTTGACCTCCGAAACCCTCTCCAGGTAAACTCCTCCAGGTAATCAGAAGCATTATACAAAATTATACTACAGTATGTAAATTTGTCGATAAGGCTTATTTTTGCATATTTATAATTCACTCTGGTCGGAGACCAGAGGATGGAGTCTCCACCACTTGATTTCAATGACCCATGCAGAAAGAGATGTTCAGTACTAGTCTTGATGAATAGAGTAGATACCTAAGGATGTAGATTTGTACACCGGTGATAGGAGACCCTATTGCAGGTGGGTAAAGCAGACAAATGGAAATAGGTCCTACCAGTAGGTTAGGCAAACTCAGAGTTGTTACAGCTCTCCTGTCACCAGTATACAAGTCTGCATCCTTGAGTATCTACTTCAGATTCATCAAGACTCTTGGACTGAACACTTTTCAAGATTAATTGCCTCAAACAACTACTTTACATCTTGCACCATCTCCAGTACTGTGTACCAGCATTGGACTAACAGTGCCACCAGTTAGCAAACTCTCCATGCTAAAGATGCCCAAGTGTTGCACATGTCTTTTGTAGATTTATGGTGTGCTATTCAAAACTGCAAAATTTCAGTCCCACCGAGGCAGGAGTGACCCAAAAAGAGAGAAAAAACTTTCATCATTCAACACTTACCGTCGTTCATATTTAAAGTGCAGGCATTGTTCTTCCCACCTCCAGGATTCAAGAAGTCCAGCTAACTGGTTTCCCTGAATTCCTTCACAAAATATTACCCTGCTCACACTCCAACAACTCGTCAGGTCCCAAAAGCCATTCGTTGCTATTCACTCTATCTAACATGCTCACACACTGTTTAATGGCCAATATTGTGATCAGATGAAAATACATTTGCTATAAAGGTAATATATAGTAAATAGGCTAGCTTACAGTGCTACCTTTTAATTGTACATTTTGCTCTAACACCATAATAGCCTCTTTGTCAGCTCGTTTTTTAAATGTAAGATGTTTCATTTATGTATCGTATTTCAGGAGGCTATCCTTAGATCTGTAATGTGATTTGCCCAAGACATTATGACTCACAGCAGGGTGAATTTAAACTAGTACTGTACTTTACTTTTGTTTGTAGTAGCATTGCTGCATACACGACACATTATGCACTTGTTTTTACTTAGTTCAGTTGTACTGTAAATAATTTTGGATTTAAATTATTATGCTCATCCACCCACCTAACAGTACATGTATGATGTTTCTATGTAGATTTTTGTTTTTGAGAATCAATGGGTAAACAGTACTGTACAGCTTAAATTATGTTTCGAAGAGAAGTACATGTGAGCAATATTGAATAAGTCAGTGTTAGGATGTAGTGTTGGCCGATATGTACCACTGTATTTAAATATGTATAATTGTTCAGTTTCCTTACTGTGTAAATAAATTTATTTATTTATTACGTTTACACTGATTATATCGTCGTATGTATAAAATTATTACTTATGCTTTCATTTCCCTAACTTTCTTTCAGTTACAGATTTTATGGGAACATTTAATGTTTCAATAAATTAATCGATTTTTCCTTTACCTTTGCTTAAAGTTTAAAGAAATACGTAAGTTTT